TGGGGGTGATCAGGGTAATGTGAAGGGGCTTGAAATGAGGTGTGAGTGTTAAATTATTTTGTTTTTGGGCGTGGAGGAGATCACTTCAAGTGGCGGAGGAGGTGGGGTTGCAGATGAGATAGGAGGAGATAGGAGAGAGGAGGAGGGGGAGAGGAGAGAAGAGGGGGGGGGGTGAGAGGGAGGGAGGGAGGGAGGGAGAGAGAGGGCGGAGCGAGCAGAGAGAGTCTCAGGGGAGAGAGAGGGAGAAAGTTGAGAGAGTGGAGAGGGAGGAGAGAGAGAGAGGAGAGCCTTTGAGCCTTGGCACCAGCCAGGCAGTTGATTTGGCCCTGGCACCAGCCTTGCCCTTGGCAGTTGATTTGGCCTTGGCACCAGCCTTGGCAGGCGGGCACGCGGGACATGCACAGGCGCCAAGGGGCGCAGAACCGACCTAACCCGTCGGAGGTGGGGGGAAGGGAGTCCCGCCGGGTTCCCCTGCGTGAGCGCAAGAGTAACCCCAAGAGGGCTGAAGATGAGCGGTACGCGCAGGGGTCGGCGTGGACGGGGCGAGGACGCGCCGCGCGCCGCGGGGCGCCGCCTCACCGGCCCAAGTGGCGCAGGGCGAGGCGGCGAGAACCGAGCGAGCACGTCCTCGTGAGCCCCGTGGCTCCAACCAGGCCCTTCCTTTTTTTTGAGCAGGTGTGACGCCGCGCGAGCGACGCTCCCAGATCGCCCGAGATAGCGCGGCGCGGCCCCGAGATCGCCCGAGATAGCGCGAGATCGACCGAGATCGCGCGGCGCGGCCCGAGGCGAGGTGGATGGGTTGGGAGCGAGGGGGCGGAAGTGTTCAGTGCGGTAGATGGTAAGCTCGAGGCGCGTGAGCCGGGGACTTGTGAGCCGGACCACCCCCTCTTCGGTTACTGGACCGTCACGTGTTCAACGACGTTGAACAGTGTTCAACCACGGCGCTGTTCACAGCGCGCGCGGACGGCCGTTCTGCGAGTCCAGCTCCGCTGGACTTTTGTAAAGCATGCTTGTGGCAAGTTATAGACGCTAGTATCGACCTCAGAGACCCAAACCCGAATTAATAATTAAGGCTCAAAGTATGGTTGAACAACCGTTGAACAAACAGGTTGAACAACGATATCCGACTAGTGCGACCGCTAGACGGCGGTCTCCGCCGGCCCCAAGGCTGCCCAGCCCCAGTACCACACCGGCCACGTAGACCGTAGCGCTGGAGTTGGTCAGTGAGGCACTAGACGGGCTACGGAACCATGCGCGCGCCGGCCGGATAGGCTGCGCGCAGGGGCCGCGCCGCCTCGATTTCGCATCTCCGCTCCGCGGCCGACTGAGGGGCCAGCTCGCCCGGCGACAAGCCCAGCCATCGCCCAGCGCCCCGTATCGACGGAGGGCACGCAAAAAACCCGCACCTACGACTAGGGTGAGCCCGTGAGGGCGTCGGTGTCGGCCGCGGGCGGGCTGCGAGGAGGGCGCGGGTGGGAGCATGGGAGATGCACCACCGCTCGACGAAGACGCGCCCGACGAAGCCCTGCTTGCGGAGGATGGTCGATCCTCACCTACTAGCGTCGGGCGTGTGCGAAAAAGAGCGCAAATCGGAGCTCAACTCGCGCGCGGCTGGGAAAGGGGTGTGGCACCCCTCCGAAGGCGCCTCGCGAGGAGCTGCTGCTGCCTCCAAACGCGCTCGGGCAGCACGTCGGCGCGCCTGCGGGGTTGGGGAGGTGAAACTATGCTTGCTGGCACGCGCATCCCGCACCACCCCCACGTCCGCGCCACATGCCGTACGGCAGGCCTCCCCTTCTGTTTTTTTTTTTTTTTTTTTTTTTGTTT